TGGTCGGTGATATAATTATAATAACAGGATAAACCAAAGGATGATGGAAAAGGAGGAATAGGAAACCAAATGAGATTAGATAAAGACCAAATGAATCAGGAGTAAAAGATGAATGAAATAGAAAGGAAATATGAAAAGGGGAAATTGGTGTAACGGTGTCGTACTCTCACACTTCCCCCCCTCAAAGCTGGGTGGTAGAAGTAATACCCTGCTTGACAAGGTAGTCGCGAAGAGGACGACGGGCGTTACCCATGTAGAATTCAGAGACGCAGCCTCAGAAGGATCAGAACCCTTCCACCAAAGAAGAAGCTCCAGAGTGCCATTCTGACGACGACGGTGTCTGAGCACGTAGTTGTCCCATGGTGTGGATGAACACGGGCGGCGACGGTGGTTGGCATTCGGTGTAGAGCGTGTTTGGTCTTGATAGGGTTTAAGAAGCTGGTATGGAAGGCGTTATGGATCTTCCAAGTGGCTGGTAGGCGGAAGCAGAAGTTGACTGAAGTGACATTTGCTTCAACGAGGAAAGTCCCGCAGAAGCAAGGTTGAAGCTTGGATGGAAGTTGGCTGATATCGAGATTATGGTCTCGAGAAGGGTAGTGATGAGTTGCCAAGTGCTTGTGCTGATGTTGGATGTCCAAGAGGTGCTTGTGTGGTCGATGTACAAGATGGTGGACGATGGCGATGAAATCGGAAGCCAGTTGGACTGTGGCTGGTATGGTTAGCTGTTGGTGTGATCGGGTGGCGTCCGTAACAGACGAAGTACAGCGTCTGTCCAGTAGCGGCGTCAGGAGCATACTTGTAGGTAAACTCCAGGACGGGCAGATGCAAGTCGGAGTTGGAGATGTGAATGGTTGGAACAGTGTGCTGTAACGTGCAGATGAGCGGCTATGTTGTCCGAGCTGTGCATGTTGTTACCCGCATCTGGTCCACGTATGAAGATCTCCAAGTGTTGGTGGTATGGCAGTCATGTCATAGTACTGCTTCTGTCGAGCTGGTCCATGCCTTAGTGTTGTCGCGAGTCGTACCCACTCGGTATCGTAGTGCTGCGGGATGGAGAGCAGAATCACTTGTAGTAACCCGGTCCACCACGCGATCTGCTAGTCACACTGCCTCGAGTACAACATCAGATGCGAAGTGCTGCTCAGCGTATCCCTTATGTTCAGAACCATGCGAGGGGTTGGTACCATAAACGCGGAGCTCGTAACTTCCAGAATCGGTGCCAAGTAGTTTCCCCCGGTGGTTGCTCAGTCAAGGAATCTCATTAGTGTAGATATCCCACGGTGATGGGTTAGGACATTTGGGAATGTTGGGGCTATTACCAAATAATCCTCTCCCATTTCCAAATGGGCATTGGTGACAGCCAATCCAGTATGACCTTATGCACTTCCAGTTTAGCACGGAGGCCATCGGTAGGCATCGGTGTCTGGGCGCACATATTGGGATAGGTCTTCTGGTGCCATCATGTGTTGTCTTATTCTGTCACTGTCCTTGAAGTAGCGTTGATGTAGAAGATGTCTCAGCTACCCAGCATCAGTGTTGAAGTCTGCTCCATTTCGGCAAACACGGGTGTTATTGGAGATACGCGGAGTCCACTATCCGGAGTGGCGTCGGCGCTCCATTTCACGCCTATCTGCTTCCGTGGAGTTGGTGTTGGTGATGGATTGGTTGCGACGTAGGTTTTATGACTTTAAGGAAAGCCATAGGCCATGAGGACTTGTATACCGGTAGAGTACCGCGGTCCTCCCATCCTCATAAGAGCAAATATCTTCTGCTCTTGAGGGTATATGGCATTGCCATGATGTTCCCTCGCATAGTGGTATCTCCTTCCCACTAGCTCGAAATCATAGGACTGTGCCTGGCCAGGTCTTAACGATCCACTGGAATATAATCCAGCATTATCTCCAACCAATCACTTCGGATGGCTGAGATTCTTGATGAAGACGAATCGTTCAGCTCCTGTTATGAAGTAGTGTCTCGCTGGCCTTGACGAGACGGGTTCACTGCGTCATCGTTGCATGCGAAATCTGCTCCTTCGCAGCAACTTGAACTTGGGAGCATTGCAAGAGAAAACGGCTACTTCTCTGCAATCCCATAGGTTGTCGATCAAATTTATTAGATGAAGTGTCTCATGGATGGAGAGCATGTCTTCACGCAGCTCCATTTTTTTTTCCTGGGTGAAGATCTCGCTGTGTTGATGTCGATCCATTTTTTACGAAGATGACTTCGTCAAAATAACTCGATCGTTATCGACACCAGTCAGAAGATGCGTCGATTGTGCAGTCGCTGGTCACGAATGTTGTCTCCATGATGATGATTTCCCATAGTGTAGTCTCTGCTGTATTCGTGCCGTTGATTCCGCACCAATCCGACGATCCACGTTCTCCTGTCAATTTTCTGCTTGCAGCTATTACCAAGTAGGTAATACTCTGGCAGATTTCTGACTGCGCAGATGATTTGCGCGCCAAATTCGTCACCAAATGAAGAAATTCGAATCTGGTTGTCCAGATGATGTCAGCGGTGTCGAAAACGGCTGATTTCTTGTTCTGCGCGTCAATCTCCCTTTGTGCAGAAGTCGCGCTCCATCTCGTCCGTTGAAGTAGAAGTCGATCCGATGGTCCAAACTCCAAGCGATCTGAGGATACTCCTGAGTCGCGTTCAGCAACTTTCGGCACCCGGGCTGACTCGTTTCCTGCAGCAATTCTCGGTCGTCGATGTCGGCTGTCGAACGATCGGACGCTCCGAAGAACTTCGCGGCTTGCGAGGTCCCATTCCCATTCGCGCCGAAACGCAAACTCGCTCAGATGGATTTCGTTTTCGCCTCGGTCGATCTGAAGCGTCGAATCTCCATCGGACGGATGTCGTCGATCGAACCTCTGCAGAGTTCTGCGCATCTCCAAGTGTTGTCGCGAACTGCGAACTTCTCCGAATGTCGCAGGGAGTGTTCCGCCGGAACTGACGCGCTCGCCAGGTCGAGGCCGTTAACCCCCGCGAAAAATCGGCACCGTCGATGCAGTCCATCGAACGGTTGGCGAGGCATCTCGCCTTCGAAGGGGACCCCAGGTGCAACTGCGCGAGGTTAGTCGAAACTTAAATGAAAGTGCATTGTACTTACAGGAATTGAAGTTTCGACTCCATCCTCGGCGTGCTCCTGGGGGCCCAGCAGTTAAGCGTTGAGCTGAAACCTTGGCTCTGATTACCAAGTGTCACAGGATCGAATGTGTCGAGGAAAGGTTTGCTCAATGTTGAACTATCAATCAGTACAAGGTGCTTTTATACTTCCATAGTACATCAGGTACCCAGGTTTATCCTATCCAAAGGGAATAGACCCTTCTAGAAATAGAATCACCATGCGTATAGCCACGCGAGGCTATTGGCTTTAAGGGATTACGGCAGGATTACGCTAGATATAGCGCGCCAGTACATCCGAGCCTGGTCGGTGATATAATTATAATAACAGGATAAACCAAAGGATGATGGAAAAGGAGGAATAGGAAACCAAATGAGATGAGATAAAGACCAAATGAATCAGGAGTAAAAGAGGAATGAAATAGAAAGGAAATATGAAAAGGGGAAATTGGTGTAACGGTGTCGTACTCTCATACTTCTGTCCTCTACAGACCCCTCGCTCTTCGTTCGTTCTGGCCAGACTCCGTTCTACATCCTTGTTTACGAAGACGATCTGGTCTTTGCCACTACAGACACCACCGCGCTGGCCTTTGTGAAGGCTGAGCTGCTGAGAAGACACACCTGCACTGACCTAGGAGAGCTGCGCCACTACCTGGGCCTGCAGATCTCTAGAGACAGAGCAGCACGCACCATCACTCTCACCCAGTCACACTTGGTGCGTCAGGTCCTTCGGAGGTTTGGTCTTCAGTTCTCCTCCGCACAGCCCACACCACTTCCAGTAGATCACTGGCTCTCTGCTCCAGTCCCTGAGGAGTCAGCAGAGCCCAGTGGTCCTTACGCAGAGCTGGTGGGTTGCCACATGTACCTGATGACTTGCACTCGTCCAGATCTCGCATACCCTCTCAGCATCCTGGCTCGCTTTGTGGCCACTGGCAGACACAGACCTCAGCACTGGTCCGCAGCTAAGAGGGTTTTGCGTTATCTCGCGAGTACATCAGGCTTGGGGTTAGTGCTGGGAGGACGCAGGCCAGTGGTCCTTACTGGGCACAAAGACGCTTCTTGGGCAAACGACGCCGAGACCCTTAGGTCCTCACAAGGCTACTGCTTTAGTCTTGGCTCAGGTGCTGTCTCGTGGAGAGCTGCTAGCTCTTCATCTGTTGCCCAGTCCAGCTGTGAGGCCGAGATCTACGCCGGTGCCATGGCGGTACAGGAGCTCCGCTGGCTGACCTTCTTGCTCACTGACTTAGGTGAGCGGCCTAGCTCTGCCCCGGTCCTGTACGCTGACAACAGGGCCATGATCCTCCTGTGTCAGGAGCCTCGACTCGAGGGCAGAGCGAAGCACATCCAGCTGCGGTACTTCCTCATGCGCGAGCTGCAGCAGCGTCGCCAGGCTCGTGTAGTACACTTGGCCTCCGGTGCCAACACAGCTGATATCTTTACGAAGGCGCTTGCGCCTAAAGATCATCAGCGGCACTGCTTACAGCTTGGTCTTGTTCCTGTTGCCTCGCACTTGCTAGGACCTTGACTGTGTACAGACATTATATATATGTATTACCCAGACTGGCCTTGTGGCTTCTCCCAGTGGTTGGACTAGTAGTGCCGCCCTGGTCTTTCTCCTGTTTTGTTTGTACTCCTATTGACTGGTCTTTAGACCCTTGCCTCAGAGGCTGGACTAGTAGTGCCGCCCTGAGCTGCTTGTTCTCGTGTTAGGCACTGCCCCTATATAGTCTACGGGGTGTGTCAAACTTATCTTCGTATGTTACTGTAGACTATACAGGTTTGTGTCTTAGAGGGTACAACTCCCTACCTTATATTACCTTGTACTCTCCTTCTCTAACTATTATTCAGTTTTGAGAGTTCCGAGGGTATGAATGCCAGATGGAAAACCATCACATAACCCTACGCAAATTATGAATTTGGTCTGTGCTTATGGAAGTGGAAGAACAGATTCTCCCTTTTCCTTGCTATGAGATTAAGCACCCCCGTTCCGATCTTTCTCTTCCTCTCCAAGTTCACCACCTCATTGCGGGCCGTACTGTCCTCTCTGTAAGGCGGTCCCTTTCCCGCTCCTAAACCACCACCTACACCTGGAAATCCTATTCTTCCTATTGATCCAACCAATCGTCGCTCTCTAAGCATGGCACCAAGCACCATTGCGACCCAAGAGTCCGGAACACCCGGAAGGCACCAATGTATGCAATCCTTGTTAATTCCGCCCGACCCAACGAAAGCGTCCCGGCGGTATAACGAAGCAGAGGTGATGTCTATAAGGCGTATGTGTGATTGGGAAAAGACGCTGCGTTGCAGGGGCAGCCACTTCGTCATCTGAACGCTTTGGTCACGGTACAGTGAAACCTGGAGCAGGTGGGGTGTGAGGGGGGGGAGGTACACAGAAAAAGAAGGTTGGGAGGGGATATGGTGGGATGAAACTATGTCTTTAAGGCGCATGTGCGATTGGGAGACAATATTGCGCTGTAGGGGCAGCAATTTGGACATTTTAGGGATTCGGTTGACATATTGGGAAATCTGGAGTACATATAGGAAACCCTAAAAGCACAATTGTCCCACCGACCACTTGCTTCAACAACCACCCTTTGACCCCAAGCACGTTCTTTCAAACCGCCAATTGACCCCAAGCACATTCTTTCAAACCGCCAATTGACCCCAAGCGCGTTCTTTCAAACCGCCAATTGACCCCAAGCACGTTCGTTCAAACCGCCAATTAACCCCAAGCACGTTCTTTCAAACCGCCAATTGACCCCAAGCGCGTTCTTTCAAACCGCCAATTGACCCCAAACACATTCTTTCAAACCGCCAATTGACCCCAAGCACGTTCTTTCAAACCGCCAATTGAACCCAAGCACGTTCTTTCACACCGCCAATTGACCCCAAACACGTTCTTTCAAACCGCCAATTGACCCCAAGCACGTTCTTTCAAACCGCAAATTGACCCCAAGCACGTTCTTTCAAACCGCCAATTGACCCCAATCACGTTCTTTCAAACCGCCAATTGACCCCAAGCACGTTCTTTCAAACCGCCAATTGACCCCAAGCCACGTTCTTTCAAACCGCCAATTGAACCCAAGCACATTCTTTCAAACCGCTCATTCCGGCCTCTCACCTCTGCCTCTGTGCGTGGCTGGGTAGCGAAAGAACAACCGTTCTGCTTCGCAGGGGCAGAGAGGAAGAACACCACAGGCCACTTGTCACCACCACCCTTGCTGCCGAAGCTACTGTTGCCTCTAACACTGTTGATGCTCCTGCTCCTGCGACTGCTGTTACCGCTGCTGCTGCTGCCACGTGTCCCTCTGTCATTGGCCCGGTCTACCAGCTTCTTCACACTCTGCATGCCGGCTCTGGGAGACGGGGGTAAAGAAGGGAAACACCCATGAAAACGAGGGCACGTTCCGTAGGCAACGGAGCAGGTGGTTGGCTGCTTGTGGACGTGATTCGGAAACATCGGCGGAAAGGGTGTTTTGGCGCAATCAGACTTGATTGTTTTGGGTATAGTGTGCATGACGGGATTCCTCTTACTGGAACGCGCGCAAGTAGCGTGACTCCTTATAAGCAACTCGCCCTCGTCTGTCAGTAAAGAACCGCCGCCACCTCGAGCGTTTCGCCTGCCAGTGCGCAGCAGACTGCAGTAGAAGCACGTCGTACTTAGCTAAGTACCGCCCCCACCGCCAATCCACCCCCTCCAGATTCACCACCGAATCCTCCGGAGTAATTACCCTGCCCTTGTTGTATAAAGAGAGGGTTTTCTTGTCCTGCCAATACTGATTAAGGAAAGTGCTCCATGTGTTCACTATAGTCACGTTGTATTCGGGCACGTGGTAGACCAGGCTGGTCCTGGGAGCAAGACGTGCCGGGACTGGAATCTGGCGAACAGGGGAAAGGCGGTGCAACTGCGGTGGGTAGTTGGGAGGGGGAGGCAGCATGGGAGGGAGGGAGGGAGGTGAGTGCTCCTGGTGTGACGTTGTATTCAAGCATGCGGCAGACTAGGCTGGTTCGGGGAGCGAGACGAGGGGAGGGAGACTGGGCTCTGGCGCACTGGGGAGACTCGGTGTAAAGGGGAGGAGAGATCAGTACTTAAGAACGACGTAGACATTGTACTCTAGGCTGGACGGGGAATGAGACGGTTTATTCCATTGTCTGTTAGCAATATGATGGGAGAATCAAAAGGGGGGGGGAAGGGGGGAGGACGGGGGGGGGACGGGGGGTGAAGGGGGGGGGGGGAGAGGGGGGAGGGGAGGGGAGAGGGAGGGAGTGAGGGGTGGGGGGAACCTATAGAGGATACCGGGCACAGACGGAACGGAACGAAGTTGACGTAAGAGAGGGATTCGCCAGATGAGTTTGTACACGTCCATATAATTATTTGTTTTTTTTTTAACGAGGAGAGAGGAAAAGCACCTGGCACAGAAGGGACGGAACGAAGTTGAAGTAAGAGAGGGAGTCGCCAGCTGATGCAACACTCTGAGAGAATGGAGGGAGGTTGGAGGAGGGAGGAAGAATCGAAGGACTATGGGACGTGAGGAAGAGGCGCAAGGCGAGTGGTGGGGGGGAGGGGGGGAGGGAAACCAACGAAGAGCACCTGCCACAGAAGGGCCAAAAGAGAAGAAACCGACAGAAAAGAGGAGGAAGCTTCTGGTTCTTTGAACATGAAGGCGCATGGGCACCTGAGCACCACGACGAAGGAAAGGAGAGGAAGAGCCCTGTGGTGTGCTTGAAGGGAGGAAATGTTTTTTTAGAATTCTCAAAAACACCCTGCAGAGCCTGGAATGTGCTTGAAGGGAGGAAGTATTTTTTTAGAATTCTCAAAAACACCCTGCAGAACCTGCGGTGTGCTTGAAGGGAGGAAGTTTTTTCTCTCTCTCAAAACCACCCTGCAGAGCCCTGCGGTGTGCTTGAAGGAGGAAGTGTGTTTTAGAATTCTCAAAAACACCCTGCAGAGCCCTTGGTGTGCTTGAAGGGAGGAAGTATTTCTTTAGAGCTTCTCAAAAACACCCTGCAGAGCCCTGCGGTGTGCACACAGAGAGGAAGTATTTTTAGAATTCTCAAAAACACCCTGCAGAGCCCTGCGGTGTGCACGCAGAGAGGAAGTTATTTTTAGAATTCTCAAAAACACCCTGCAGAGCCCTGCGGTGTGCACGCAGGGAGAAGTTATCTTTAGAATTCTCAAAAACACCCTGCAGGGCCTGCAGTGTGCGCGCAGGGAGGAAGTGTTTTTTAGAATTCTCAAAAACACCCTGCAGAGCCCTGCAGTGTGCACGCAGGGAGGAAGTTATTTCAGAATTCTCAAAAACACCCTGCAGAGCCAAGTGTGTGCACGCAGCGAGGAAGTGTCTGGTTCTTTGACACGAAGTGCAGCAATTGACGGAAAATAGAAACGAATCCAATCTTGCTTAAAGCCCACCCTGTCACTCACTCCCACTCTCCCCCCCCTTCCCCTTCCCCCTTCCCCCCTTCCCCCCTTCCCCCCTTCCCCCCTTCCCCCCTTCCCCCACTCACTTGTTTCTCATAAGCGTTAGAAAAAGTCTGGGGCGGAAGAAAGAGAGGAGTGCGACACCTGACGGCTGCCAGCGGTAGCTCTGGGTTGGGGGGGAGGAGAGGAGAGAGGTTGACACGTGCATGCACAAAAGCACAGGCAGTGCAAAAGCACATCGCACAGAAGGTGTTTTGAGGCGCCTCAAGATGAGAGGAGTGAGGCACTCTGACGGCTGCCAGTGGTAACTAAACACACTTATCCCTGGTGCTGGGAGGACGATGCCTTGACTCACCAGCCAGGAGAAGGCCGCGTGTGCTTGTTGAAGCGGGGCGGCTCACAGGACCAATGCTATGCCACGCCTACTTTCGTGGTGTTGAAACTCGTGAACCCAGCAGTTAGCGAGTCTGCTACTAACGGAGATGCCCTTGACCCACCAGCCGGGAGAAAATCGCTTGTGTCTTTTGGAGAAGCAGTCGCGGGGCCAATGCCCTGGCAGCCGTATTCCGTCTAAAACTAGTCAACTAACACTTCTCATAGCGGGTTTTCTACTAACGAAGATGCCCTTGACTCACCAGCCAGGAGAAAGGCCGCTTGTGCTTGTTGACGAGGCAACTCACGGGGCCAATGCCCTGAAGGGGGAAGGGGAAGAGGAGAGAGGGAGAGGAGGGAGGGACGGGAGGAGAGGAGCGGAGGGAGAGGGGGGAGGGAGAGGGAAGGGAGGGAGAGAGGAGCGGAGGGAGCGGGGAAGAGGAGCGGAGGAGGGAGAGGAGGAGAGAGGAAGGAGAAGGGAGGAGAGGAGGAGCGAGAAGGGGAGAGAAGGAGCGAGAAGGGAGAGGAAGGAGCGGAGGAGAGGAAGGAGAGCGGAGGAGAGGGAGAGAAGGAGCGAGGGAGAGGGGGAGAGGAAGGTTCCAGGGTTATTAAGATAAGGGGTTAATAGGGCCGCTTGTGCTTTTTGGCGAGGAGGCTCACGGGGCAATGCCCTGTGGGGGAGAAAAGGAGGTTCGGGGAAGAGGGGGAGAGGAGGGGAAGGAAGGTGCCAGCGTTACCAAGAACGAAGGCTGAAATGGCCGCTTGTTTCTTTCCCGCCTCAAGGCGACGGCCCTTTCCCGCCTAAAGGCGACGGCCCTTTCCCGCCTAAAGGCGACGGCCCTTTCCCGCCTCAAGGCGACGGCCCTTTCCCGCCTCAAGGCGACGGCCCTTTCCCGCCTCAAGGCGACGGCACTTTCCGTCTTCAAGGCACGGCCCTTCCCACCTTGGGAACTACAAGGTACCGAATGCTGCGCACCTTGAGGAAAGGGCAGTCGCGCGACACGATATTGCATCCCCAGCGAAGTCACCGGGGGTGGGTTGAGGGGGGAGGGGGGAGTGGGGGCAGTTGCGCACAAAGCTGCGCACGAAAAGCCGCGCGCACCTTGAAAATGGCAGTCGCGCGGTACGGTACTGCATCCCCGGAGTCACGGCAGCCATCGACCGACGGAGAAGTTACACCTCGCTGTAATCACCTCTCTCAGTCACCCTCGCCTTCGCCTCTAGAACGCCCCTTCCCCCCATCTGCAGCGATTTGGGCGCTCGCAACGAATCTATACCATTAACGGTGGTTCTATTAGCGTGTTCCGTCGACGAGCTCCTGCTAGCGATGCCAGTTTGAATCGAAACGGGTAAAGAAACTGCCAAAAGAGAAGAAGAGGATGCGGAGCGGTAAGCGATGAGAAACAAGCTTCCGGGGAGAAACTAGTGTGATGCAGTACGACTGACACGGGCCGTCGACGCGCCCCGCAGTCACCATCAGGGGGTTAGATGACTAGTGCTGAAAGGGTTCTCAGAGCGTTTCAAGTCGACCCGAAACGAAATCACTAACACACGGGTCTGCTTTTAGTCGACTCAAAACGCACCGCCGCATCACCATCAGGGGATTGAGATAACGCTGTCAGGCGGTCTCAGAGCGTTTCGAGTCGACTCAAAACGAAATTACTAACACTCGGTCTCAGAGCGTCATAAGCCGCATAATAGCTCGGTTTACGAAAGTTCAAACCGTCTATAACACGCCTAGATAGCTCTGGAGGAAATTACTGGCGAGTTTCAGAAGCTTTCTAATCTCAATACACGCGGGCAGGCAGGGCAAAGGCGAAGGGGCTAATTTCGAGACACGCGGCGTAACGCAAAACCTAACGAGAGGAACCTAACAAAATTGGAGCGACGCCGACTAGAAAGGTGTGAGCTCGAGCGATGACGATCGAGAAAAGGGTCGTGTAGGAGATCGCCTGCTTCGCTACATCCGACGAAGTTGACGCGGATGCGATAGTCAAGCTTCTTTCGCTGGCGAGGCAAGTCGCACATTTGTGCACGGGCTGTCGGAGCGCACGACGCGCGATGCTGAAGCACGTTCGGCGAATTGGTGCGACTCGCATACAAAGTAACACATGGATATCTAATGCACAGAATGATTTTAAATTTCCCCTTATCTAAAAAAAAAAAAAAAAAAAGGGCTGAATTTCCATAACATACAGATCACACAGCCAACGCAGGCTCATTGTCAAAAAGTGATTGACCATAGCGACCCCCAATCCGGAACGCCTGGAAGGCACCAATGTAAGCAATCCTTATTCACTCCACCCACCCAACGAATGCATCTGGCCTATAGAGGACATGTCACATCAATCAACCGTATCCGTGTGCCTTTGAATGCCCTCTGCTGAACTGGTAACCAGCAACAAATTGCGGTTACTTTCGAAGTTGCAACCTGTATACCATCACACGTGTAGGAAACGAGAAACAAGAAGTCTTGTAAACAACTCAATAGACAATAGAGGGTAAAAGGATGCCTTGCCAGATCGCAAATGAAGGAAAGACAGTAATATAAGGTATAAATCACCTGAGCATCTGTGTTTGGTGCCTTCAACTTCGTGCACCCATCTAACCGAGCCGGGCAGATATGAAATAAGTTATCGGCGCTCTGGTTGGCGAGAGATCTCTGACCGCTGCCATGCCATACCTGAAAAGAAAAGGGAAAAAACAAACAAACAAACCAACAAACAAACAAAAAGTTTTGACACATTGCCATGGCCAGGCGTGTGAAAACAGCAAAAGGCTAACAAGCGAAGAGGGCAGTTTGAGGCATCCTCATTGCCATGGTCAAGACTTCTTTCAACTATCACCAGACTGCACCTACTCAAAGGCAGCAACGAATCTCGACTCGTTGAAGATTTGATCCCCGTACTGTTCACCCAGAATCGGCGCCACTTGTACTTGGTGCCTGCCAGTCGCCTGCGTCTGCAATATAAGCACATCGTACTGCCCGATATAACCGCCCACTGCGCATCGAGCCCATCGAGATAACCACCGAATCCTCATCTGTTAAGTCCGCACCGCCATTGTACTGCTTGACAGTCTGCGGGTTGGGGGGGGGAGAAGGATGGATACACACAGAAGAGGAGGGGAGGCAAAGATGTTGTTGATCGGTTGCTCGTGGGCCAGCACCTTCGGTGGTCTACCCCTGACACTTTGGTGCGAGAGGAGGAAAGGAAAAGTGGCTGAGGGGTCTTGGGGAAGGAATCAGGGAGCAGTTGCATGCAAATGATAGAAACAATTATTCAGCTTTGCAAAACATTATGGATAGAACTAAATTAGCCTAGCTCACCTCCTCATCTTGCCAGTACTCGTTAAGAAACGTGCTCCACGTGTTGATAGGGTGACGTTGTATGCTTTGACTAGTACACTTTATGAGCGGCTCTGCCGTGCATATGTGCCGTCATTAAGAATCTCCGTAACGGAGAGACTTTGTGTAACTGCATAGAGAACAGGAAAAGGAAAAAACAACAAAAACACACAAGTTTATAAGATAAGGGTTAAGGATGATAAAAAGGAGCAGCGAAAAGGGAGAGAAAACATGTGCAAACCATGCCCTCAGAAAGCAGTGAATAAAGAGTTGTGAAGCTGAATAAATGAATAAATCACTAAACAAAAAAATAAAGATAAAAATAATTACATATTATACAAACAAATCAGCAACCAGAGAGTAGCTGCAGCAACAGCTTACCTGACACAGAAGTAGGGCATGAGGTTGCTGACAGAGAGTCGCCCACAGAAACAAACATTTACAACAACTGGTTACAGTAGCTGGTTACCAGTTCGGAGTGGTAACCAACAGCGACAGCTCACCCACCTGGCACAGCAGGACGGCATAAGGTTGCTGACAGAGAGAGAGTCGCCTGCCGACGCAAACACCCTGCAAGATAGAAAGACGGGAGCAAGTCCGAGTCAGCCATTGGATCAATTCCTTTCCCAGAAAACTTCAAGTTTAGGGGTTGGCACCCCTCCCGCTTTTGCTTTCCTCTAAGTTAGAGACAAACCGTTTGCACACGAGCCCCTGCGCGCCACACCCTGCAAACGCGATCCGCTGCTTTTTTTCCCGTTCAAGCAAGCCGCTCACTTGTTTCTCATTCGTCGAGGAAAGCCAGGGGGCTGAAGGAAAACCATGGCTGCCCGCAGTTCCTGGGCCGAAAACGGTAGTTCTGGGGGAGACGGAAGGGGGAAGGGAGAGGGGGAAGGCAGGGTGGGGTGGGGGGGAGAAGGGGAGGGGGAATGGGATACGGGAAAGTTTTGAGGCGCCTCAAAACTAGACTCCTATCACGCGGAAGGGGGAATGGGATACGGGAAAGGAAGTTGGGTTGGAGATCAAGAGGAGAGGCCTCCCGCAGTTCCTTGGCACGTACAGTATCTAAGTCGCACAAGAGGGAGGGGGGAGAGGGGGGGGGTGGTGGGTGGGGGGGGGGGGGGGGGGGGGGGTGTTGGCATCGCACTGTCGATTTCGGGGCTTGCTAGCCCGGAGTCCAGCTCACCGGCGGAGCGCAAATTAGCACAGCGGTTAAGCGCCCGCCTTTCCCGAACCCCTCTCCGCGCCCAACCCGTTCCTTACCAGCCAATTCTTGGGACGATTTTTAGGCGCCTCAAAAATCCGCGCCCAACCCGTTCCTTACCAGCCAATTCTGGGGTCGGCTCCTGGGCTTGATAATGCAGTTCACCGGGCCGACATTCTGCCGCGAAACGGGCGAGGCGGTCGGGTAGGGAGGATTGGGGGGGAGGGGGGCAAGGGTGGGGTGGGGGGAAGTGGGGGAGAGGGAAAAGCGGGGGTTGTAAGGACGCGTTCCGGGCGGAAGGCGAGAGGTGTACGGCGCTGGGCGCTAATAAAATCACCGCACGGGCGCTACTAATATTACCGCACGGGCGCTAATAGAATCACCGCACGGGCGCTAATAGAATCACCGCACGGGCGCTAACACCGTTCGTACCTTGAGGAAGGGGCAGTCGGCGCCGTAGGGAGCCTTGTTTCGCGAAAGCCACTGCCCGCCGCGGGAGAAGTTACACAATGTCGCCTGCGTCGGCTGCAAGCTGGTTACCCCATTCGCGGCCGTCGTCGCGAGCCTTCTCCCGCCGTTATTTACACGTGTCGTACTACGAGTGGCCGACGCGGAGTCTGTGTCAGCGCGGCACGCAGCGCAAAAAGAAGTACGCAGTTAAGGCGAGCGTTAGTAGCCCCTTTATGTCGAGACGTCGCATTACGGTCTCGTGGACGCTCGTACGCGCCGCCGACATTTGCTGCCTTCAGGAAATATGAGACGCGGGCTTTAATACGCGCTGGCTTGGGCTTTAATACGCGCTGGCTCGGGAACTAAGGCGCCTCAAAACGCGCAGGCTCGCTCACAGCAAAATTTGTCTTCAGGAATCTCAAAAGGATCGCGCTTACTGAGAAGCGAGCACCTGGCGGGACGACTTATCGCATACGAATCTATCGAGTCTGTTCGTGAGTCGACTAAGAAAGCGCGCGAGGTGCTTTCCCTCTGAGTCTGACTAACAGTCCCGCGGGCCGCGACGTAAGAGAGGGTGTAGTAGGGTGGAGAGAAAACCGCGTCGAGTGCCTTACACAATCGCGTCAAATACAGGAACGATGACACCTTCCCAGTCGAACCTAGAGTTCTCCCAGTCAACTAGAGCTCAACGGGGCAGATGGAGTTATTAGACCTGCGCACGGGCGTGGACTGGTCACTAGCAGTAAAGAAAAGACCGGGTCGTGAACAGTACGCGCTTTTTTAGCAGCACCGACATTTTTACCTCGTCGCGTCAGCTTGCGCCGCGACATCGTAACATGTGGACCGTAGTTGGTGGTGGCACACGAGGCTATGGGGGCGAACTAGAAATTGGCCCCCTAATTTTCCCTGTGGAGCAGGAGCTTGGGAAAAGGGATGGGGTGGTTGGATTGGAGGAACATAACACAGAAGCAAGGGGCAGATGAAATACTACAGGATTTTGCATTATCACGGTCAAATTCTGTTTGGAGGTTGTTTTGGAGCTTCAAAGCAAGGCTTTGCCTTGTGATTGTAGTACAGTTTTTTACTGCTTTCCGCCAGGTTTAGCCCTCCGTCAACTTCGTCGTCGGGTTTGTCGGCCCGTCCGACAAGCCAACGCGCTTTGCACTGTTCTGGCTGGGCTTGGGGGAGGGAGGAATCGAAACCGTTGGTTGTTGGAACTTGAACGAACTCGATTGTTGAAATCGGTGGACCTGAGGTCGGTGAGAAATAGTCCACACCGCAACACGACCACCCGTTTCAGTCACCTGTAAGAACTAAGGTCACCTATATTGATACAACTACATCACAACTGCTCAAGGGCGCTACTAAGGCAAAATGCTAAGTTACTAAAACCTAGCATACCCAAAGAACCCGCTCTTGGTACAAAACCCAGGTCTAAAATTCGTGATCGCCGCGTAGAAATAAAATCCTATGGTCAGAGCCCAAATGGCAGGAATGATGTTGAAGAGCAAGACGCAATAGTCACGTTTCGGCAGCAGCTGGTCTTCCCTCAAATATGGCACCCCATACTCGTCATACGAAAGGAGCTTCCTTCGATCCTCCGGCTTAGGATGCGTCGGGGACACGAGGACATGCATTATCGGCACGAGCATGCTTTGCACGGAGAACAGGATGAAGGGAGCCCAGGAGGTGACCTTCAGAAGCTGCGATGGATGCAAATAATGGGAGAGAAGGAAAGGATTGCGGAGGGTGGATGGAGCGAGACAAAGGTGGAACAGCAATGGAAGTACAATGAGGAAGGAGATCAGATCTTAACGCATTGGCAGCATAGTTCTAGCCAGGAGGAGAGCAAGTATGCTGATAGAGCTTCCACGTACCTACCATTCCGCAATCATGAAAGCCACCGCACTACCGTGCCTAACTACAGCCACGCAGAACCCCGAATGGAACCACACTGTCATGAGCCACTCCCACACCGTATTTAAAGATTTGAGGGACATTCTCACTCACCATTCCGCAATCATGAAAGTCCACTGTGGCGAACCGCCATTCCACCGCGCCAACTCCGGCCACGCAAAACCCCCCATGGAACCACACCGTCAGCAGCCTCTCCCACACGCCAGATGGCACAAGTATTCTCACATACGTACCATTCCGCAATCATGAAAGTCAACAGTGGCAAACCGCCACGCCACCCGCGCCAACCCCGGCCACGCAGAAGCCCACATGGAACCACACCGTCAGCAGCCTCTCCCACACCGCCGGCGCCTTTTTCTTCGTGCTGCCCGTCGCCTCAAACTTCTTGCTTATGAACGGGAAAAAGAACCGGAGGATCGCCATGCAGTTGAAAAATGACATCCAGTACCAGACCTGCTCGCCCCTTAGCTGGACCATCATCCCGTTAGGGAGGCGGGAGAAGAGCCCGAGGCAGAGGAGGCGGGAGGCGAAGACGTAGGGGACGAGGAGGATGATGTAGAGGCGGGTGGTTTCGAAGATGGGGCCGGGCGGCATGATGCGGAGATCGAGGGCCAGGATGAGGACAGGTAGGACGAGGATCATGATGACGATCACGTTCAGGTAGTACTGCACGCCTGGCGGGAGGGAAGACAGATGAGTGAGTGCGAGGTTGTAGGAAGACAGATGAGTGAGTGCGAGGCTGTAGGAAGACAGATGAGTGCGTGCGAGGTTGTAGGAAGACAGATGAGTGCGTGCGAGGTTGTAGGAAGACAGATGAGTGCGTGCGAGGTTGTAGGAAGACAGATGAGTGCGTGCGAGGTTGTGGGGTGGGGAACGTGGAACGCACATGCGTGCAAGTCTCTGTGCCGTGTGAATGCACATGTGACTGCTATTGCGTGCGTGCGTGAGTCTGTGCGTGCGTATGTATGCAGGCACGCGCCGTGTGTGCGTGCGTGCGTGCATGCATGCGTGTGTGCGTGTCTACATGCGTGTGTGCCTGCGTGCATGTGTGTAAGCGTGTGTGACATTAAATAATTCAGCACCAACAAGCGGGGAGCAAGACCGCAGGGGGAAAGGGCCAGAGACTACTTACCAGCATACCAATACGAGATGCGGCGGTAGAGACTGAACTTGGGGGCGCGCAGCAGAAGCGGGTTACGGTGTAACAGTATCTGCAGGCTGCCTGTGGCCCACCGCTGGTGCTGCTTGATGTAGCCCTCCAGACTCCAAGGGGCGAGGCCCGCCTGTAGCCTCTGTACCAGTCAAGCAAGAGAGATGGGGCACAAACACAAGGGCGAGCAAGGGGGCAAGTCGGCGTATGATGGCTGCCTGTGGCCCACCGTTAGTGCTGCTTGATGTACCCTCCAGGGACCAGGGGGCGAGGCCCGCCTGTAGCCTCTGTTTCAAGCACGTGAGAGAGAAGAGACGCATGCAGAAGCAAAGAGTGAGAAATCTATCTAGGATCGGCGGGCTGCCTGTGGCCCACCGCTGGTGCTGCTTGATGTACCCCTCAAGACTCCAAGGGGCGAGGCCCGCCTGTAGCCTCTGTTATAAACAAGAAGAGTGAGAAGGAAGAACAAGGAAGAGTATGCTTGCTTGTAGCGGAGACAATCTCGATATGCATGTGCATGTTTTCAAGGTGGTGCATCTCGTCACACCCTGGTATCATATGCAGCATGAAAATAAATGTTGTTGATTGTCTGGTATGTTTAGTGGTACTGTTTTTATCCCCGCGCATGTAGAGGCGTAGCAGTGCCAGAGCCCTCTGGGATAGACATAAAATGTGCACATATATGGCAAGAACCCAAATTGATTGTCATGTCGTCCTTCGGTCCTCCACATGCATTCTTGAGTCAACTAAAAAATCCGTGTGTAATGAGTCGATTTTTTAGCCGACTCAAAAATCCGTGTGTAATGAGTCGATTTTTTAGTTGACTCAAAAATCGACACATTACAACCCAAATTGATTGTTATGTCCTCCTTCGGTCCACATGCATTCATTTCAACTCACCTGAACCACATAGGTGTTCTCGAGCACGCAGGGTCATATTATAGCCGCATCAGGGTGCCCTAAGAACCTCTGTGCTGGGAGGACAAACACGTGCCATGCCTGGCATTCAAGCGTCTAGAAGCATCTTTCGAGCTCACCTGCATGGCATAAGCAGCCTTGTATCCCCTTGCGTGTGGGTCATGTCATAAGCAGTGTCAAAATCCTCTCTGATAGACCCCACAGTGCAGCCACTTACTTTGAGTCAGACTCAAAAGAAGGTCATAAGCAGTGTCAAAATCCTCTCTGATAGACACCACAGTGCAGCCACCAATCACTCGCAAGTGAGCTGAATGGAAGGTGGATGGATTCTGCATGGCCATTGCAGTATGCTCGCATCTTCGCTCACCTGGTTGACATAGGCAGTCTTGTATCCGCGAGCATGCAGTGTCATCGCCGTGTCGAAGTCCTCCGTGATCGACCCAACGGTGAAGCCGCCTATGGCTTGCAGGTGAGCCGAGCGGAAGATGACTCCCGTGCCCACACACTGTGCACTGTCTCGACCATCTCTGAGAAAGAATGGGCCGGGAAAGGGAGGGAGGGGGAGGAGGAGGGGGAGGGGGAGGGGGAGGGGGAGAGGGAGAGGGGGGGAGAGAGGAGGGGGGTGTCAGGAGAGTGGAAGCCGCCTATGGCATGCAGGTGAGCCGAGCGGAAGTTGACTCCCGTGCCCAGACACTGTGCACTGTCACGACCATCTCTGAGAAAGCAAAAGAGGGGGGTGGGGGGGGGAGATGGGGGGAGAGAGAATGGGAGTCAGGAGGGTGGAAGACTAATGGCCTCAGGTGGGATGAGCGGAAGATGAGCCCCATGCCCACACACTGTGCACTGTCACGGCCGTCCCTGTGAAAAGAGAGAATGCAGACCAGGAAAGGACTTCACGGTCTGGTCTGCATCGTCTCCTCAAAAGTCGTCTGTGAAAAGAGAGGATGCAGACCAGGAAAGGGGCAAGCGGATTGGAGAGAATATTTTTGAGGCACCTCAAAATAGAACGATGTGGGCACGCGCAGGCACCTCACACGCAGGCACCTCACATGCAGGCATGCACGCACCTGTACACACACGCATACTTGCACCAGCACACACCTGTAGGGAAGGAGAATGTCGTAAAAGTTTTGCGACGAGACATTCAGCGGGTCCCCTTTCACGATCTGACTTTTGATTCGACTCAAAACTCACCTTTTGAGTCGACTCAAAACTCACGAGTCAATCAGCGAGTCCCCCTTCACGATAGTAGAGAACGACTGCGGGCACTGCACAAAGAGGCAGCTGTATGGCACAGGCACGCATGCACGCATGCATGCCCATGCCTCAAGAGAGGAGCAAAGCACACACCTGTAGGGCAGAAGCACGCCGCAGAAGTCTTGCGATGAGTCCCCTTTCACAATGTTGTCGAACGACTGCCGGCACTGCACAAACGCCAGGCATGTACACCCGCGCAAGCACGCACCTGTATGGAAGAAGCACGTCGTAGAAGTCTTGCGACGAGTCGTTCAGCGGATCGCCCTTCACGATGTTGTAAAACGACTGCGGGCACTGCACAAACGCCACGTCGCCCTTCTCCTCCCCGACAATATGTGGCAGGAGCGCCGACAGGAAGAACGGCGAGGGGATCATATCCGCATCGAGCACCGCCACAAACTCTCCGCATGCAAAATGGAGCCCATAGTTGATGTTCCCGGCCTTGAAGTGGTGAGGCACGCCTTTCTTCT